GACGACACAGGCTTCGCCGCAGCCAGATTGCGAGGGCAGAGCCCACCGGGAGGTGCCCGTCCGGGTTTTGCGTGGAAACGCTTCATCTCCTTCCACAGGGAACAGCCCAGACGGCGAAGCGCGGGCTACGGCACCAGGGGTATCGACTCTCAACCAAAGTTAATACCGAAAGCGCAGCCTGAAGACACAACACGCTGCTGACAGGCACAGGCCCCACGCCCGGCAGCTGCACGCACTGTCCAGGCCCGGTCCCAGGCCCCCAGAGCCCACCTCCTGTGTCCTAGGGATCCTCCCCGAGTCTCGTGACGCCCCAACTGACCCCACGTCTCAGTCGGCTTCGTTCCCACGCGTCCTGCGACAGTCCCCCAGGACCCCGCCTGCCCTGGCCCTCCTCACCCGGCCGCCCAGGGAGGCCGAGCCTGCTGTGTGTGGCGGTCACGCCCTGCACCCGGGTCTCGGCCCCGGCCGCTCCTCCTCCCTTGGGGCCTGGAATGGCTGGTGCCCTGACGAAGGCGCGGGTCCCCAGGGGCCCAGCCCATCCTCGCCTCCTGTGCCGGCTCGGGTGGGCCAGGACCTGGCTCTGAACAGCTCCTGGTTCTGGAATCAGGTCCACCTGCCCCAGGGGAGCGGCTCTCACCCCACTGCTGAGGGCACAGCCTTCCCAACACACCCCTGCCCCAGTGCCCCCTGGACCCCAGAGGCCAGAACCAGCCTCAGCGCATCACACAAGTCAGAGCAATATCAGGCACGCCCCCCTGGAGAAGTGGGGGGCCACGGAGAGGCCGTCAGGGTGGGTAGAGAGTGTCCATGTCAGGATGCTCAGGCTCTGACCCCAGTGGTCAGGGGCGGCCCTCCCTCCCTCCGACCGCCACCACCAAACCCTCAGGACCGAAAAGCCCCACCACCCAGCACGTGCCGCCTCCCTCCGCCCCACAGGCAGGTGTGCGACCAGGCGGTGGGCAAACCTGTATCTCGCGCAAACTTGGCCCCAGAACAGCCGCCTGCGAACAAAGTGGCCCTTGTTCCACTCCGTCCCGAGGAAACCCGCCACAGTCACCTGCCGCCGGGGAGAGACATGGCTCTGGGGGTCCTCGGATCCGAGACCGACTCCGCACCATCGCAGCCCCCCACGGGCCTCAGGTCCTCTTCCCGAGGAAGTCCCAACACTGAGCGGAGCGGCTCTCCACGTGGCCGTTCGGGGCGCGGGCCTCCTGCCAGGACCCACACACAGCCCACGGAGGCCGGCCACCAGGCTGCCGGGACCCCGCACCCGGCCAGGCCTTGGGCGGCTCTGCTCCGGCCTCAGCCCCAAGGTCTACGGTGCTTCCCCTCCGCTGGCCCGGGCTGAGGTCTGGCCGCGGCTTCCCGGGAGGGCAGGGCCGGCTTAACCAGCCGAGCAGGTTGGCAGGCGGAGGAGGGAGGTTCCCCATCCCGCCTGGAGGGGGCAGCAGAGCAGATCCGCGCCCAGGACACCCCTCCAGGCGGCCACATGAAAAACCTGTCCCCACGGCCAGCTCCCCACATCACCTCCCAGGTCACCCTGGAAACCCGAGCCCGGCTCCCCATGAGCGCACGCTCCGCCTCCGCCTCCGGTTGGTTTCCCAATACGCTCCCTGGCACCTGCCGCCTCCTCCCCTCCAGGTGCCCTGCAAGCGCCTCGGCTCTGGGCGGAAGGGCACCTCTGTCTGGGCCTGGTCTGTGGGCCCCGCGAGGAAGGGCATGGAACCTGCTGCCCTCGCTGCTTTGCCTCACGCGGCCCCTCCCAGCCTCCCGGACGCTCCAGGCCGCCCCTCACACCTCCCCCCCAGTCCCTGGGAGAGGCCCTCACTCAGGGCCAGGTCGGCCCCAGCCCCCACCTCCTGCACCGACCTCGTCCCAGCACCTCCCGCCAGGGCCATTTCCACACCTGAAACTTCTGGGAAGACCTGAGGCCCCCCCCTCTGCCCCCCCATTTCCTCAGCACCCACGGGAGCCTCTGCCCAGCGCTCCTCGGCCACTCCTGGTCTCTCCGGAACACCCTCCCATCCCAGGACACACCTGGTCCCTGGCCTGTCAGCGTTCCGACCTGCCCTGGCCTAGAATGTTCCTGATCATCTCTGGCCCCTGACCCTGCCCACTTTGACCAGTCCTTCAAGATCCAATCCCACGGAGGGGTCAGGGAGGGGGACCCGCCCCCTTGAGCAAATGCATGACGCCATGGCAGCACCACAGTGCGGTGTGGGCTGGAGAACGGCCACAGGAGGAGACACGGGGCCAGGCCACGCCACAGGCAGCGGGAGGTGGGAGCTCAGGGGGCTGTTCATTAAAAATCACTCGGCACAGACCACAGGGTCTGGGACCAGCGGTGGCGCATGCGAGACTCAGCCAGCTCAAAGCCCTGAGGTCCAAACAATGAAGAGAAAGAAAAAGACAAGCCAATCGGCGTGGCTCATGGTGAGCGTCGACCTAGGAACCAGGAGGTCACGGTGCGATTCCCGGTCGGGGCACAGGCCCGGGTTGTGGGCTCCATCCCCAGTGTGGGTCGTGCAGAAGGCAGCCGATCCATGATTCTCTCTCACCAGTGATGTTTCTCTCTCTCTCCCTCTCCTTTCCTCTCTGAAATCAATAAAAACATATTTTTAAAAAATAAAAAGACTCAGGCCCTGGCTGGAGGGTCAGTTGGTTGGAGCGGCGCCCCATACACGAAAAGGCTGGGGTTCGATCCCCACTCAGGGCGCGTATGGGAGGCAACTGGTGGATGTTTCTCTCTCTAAACATAACCTCGGGTGAGGATTTAAGAAAAAGAAAAAGATTCGGCCCACAATTCCCCTCCCTTAAAGTCCCCCCAAACCACTGCTGCTGCTATGGCAACTCAGCCACTTACGGCAACGCTGGCACCACACCCGCTCGCCACGTCTGCCCTGCGGGGCGGCGGGCCACGGCTAACAGGTGCTCGCAGAACATGTGCGAAGTGGACAGAGCAACGAGCCGTCCTCCCCGCCGGAGGCATCTCTGTGCGTGCCTCACCTCAAGACCCAGGCCACCTGCCTCCAGGCCAGCTTCCGGCTGAGCTCTCGGGTCGAGGGAGAAAGCGCTGGGTGGGGGTGCCAATCGCCTTCCGGGGAAATTCCGAGAAAGGTCAGCAGGCCACGGGCCAGCAAGGTCCCATGGGGTACGGACACATCCCCCCCAGGCGTTTGAGAACACTGCGGGCAAGCAACCTCCTTCCCTCTTTTGTTAAAACGGGTCTCTTTTTTTTTTT